GAGGTGTGTGTGTGTGTGTTAATGTGTGTGTGTGTGTGTGTGAGTGAGTGTTGTGTGTGTGTTAGTGTGTGTGAGAGTGAGTGAGTGTGTGTGTGTGTGTGTGTGTGTGTCTGTGTTGTGTATTACATGTTTATTGCCAAGTTAACTGTTCATGAGATGATTACTTTATATCCCTGTGTCACTGCATTAAAGCTAGTGATGTCTTGATTAATTAGTGTGGTTTGTAGCCGTTCTTGTTTTAAAGTGAGATAAACTGTGCAAGTGGATGATTGAATTGCATTTTGCTTTCTACAGGTCATACTGTACCCCATAATGAAAGAAAGAAAGAAATATTCAATTCTGTTGTTTTCAAAAAAACGTTTTTAGAACCATTAAGAGTTTTTGCATTGTGACATTAATTTCAAAACCGTTAAATATCTGTGCAACCCAGCGTTTATCCTTTTAATTACAATGCATTTCTAATAAAAAGACAAAAGCAGATGTTTAACAGTTAAAACGCATTGCATTGCCGTGATTTTGCAGAAAACATACTGATTTGTTCATTGTTTAAATGACTTGGCAGCTCTGGACCTCCGTATCTCAGCAGAGATCTGGACCTTCAGTGAAGCGTCTCCCTCATGATCTGGGATTATATAAGGCAGGAATAACTATAATAATCTAACATGGAGTTTGTCAGAGTGCTGATTGGGAACGCGAGCGATCCAGAACCATTCAAGATATTAAAGGATGACCCTGAGGAACACAGAGGTCGGTCCCCAATTTTGTCAACTTATGGTTATTGCTGAAGCTACTCAGTTATATAAATCATATATGTAATAAGATACCATTTGTGACCCTGGAGCACAAAACCAGTCATAAGAGTAAATTTTTGAAAGCTGAATAAATAAGCTTTTTTTTTTAGTACAAAAATCTGAACACTGGATGAAGTCCGTTTCAAAATTCTTTTTTTTTTTGACATATTAGAGTCAAATGTTTTTACAGAGGGAATTTTGGGTATCTAATTTTTTGTCACTCCATAATTCAGAAAATACTTAAAACAGACAGAAAACAATATATTTTCGCGTTTTTTGGGGGCATGAAATGTTGTGTATAATCAAGCAAATTATATGCGAACAAATCCCTCTGTAAAAACCTTCAGGATATAGACTATAGGAATAAAAATGTAAAGTTTGGTGTGTGTAAGTGCTACTGAAGACGAGATTTATGGCTCAGTGTAGGAGAAAAAAATCATTTTGAGAAAACAGCCTTTAAAAATATGTATTGTAATTGAAATCTGTTGACACAAATAGATAAAGTGCTATAAAATATCTACTCGCCCTCCGAGAAAAGTTGATCTAGTTCACATATTCACACACGTTCAGCATTAGCTTATTAGGTTTACATTGAAAGTTTATGAATTAAATGCTTACATTTTTGTAATCTGTCTCTAAATGTTTGTGTCTCAGGAGATACGTCGCTCTTTTAGGGGTATAAATCAAGATATAATAACATACATATAGACTGAGATTTTGTGACTTGTGTTTCAGAAAATCTAATCTTTTTGTAATCTTGACCAAATGCATATCCTGGGACAGGTCTGACAGTCAAGGTTCCATATTTGGTGACTGTTTTGAAATAGAAGTGATATTGTGACAGAAAATGATTGATTTGTGACAGAAAACAGCATCAGAAAAATTCAAGAGTTTGAGTGTCACCCAGTGGTTATTTTCGGTATTGTGCCCAAACTAAATCTCACAGGAACCACATTTTTTGTGATATCAACTTCAAATTCGGAACATAGCTTGGTTAGACATATGGCTTTGATTTTATAGCAACATATTTTATAAAATGTTTATTTTATATAAAATATAAACAAATTAGTATGCTACATTATCTTTACTGCAAACTTAAACTTCTATAACTGTATACTTTCTTTTTTTAAATGCTTTCACTTCAGCAATAATCTGCTGTGTGTCTTCTTTAAAAAGAGACCAACCTTTGGTCTGTCTTCCAAAGCGTTCAGGAATGTTTTTAGAAGCATTGATAAACACGTGTTCTGTTTTCAGAAGCGACATATCCTGGAGATACAAACATTAAAATCAACAATAAGAATAGTATTATCTGAGTCCTTATAAGATGGGAAATAGCAATACATTTATTTTCTGATGTCTCTTTATGGTTTTGTCCTTTTTAGGGTTAAGTGCATCGTACAGGTATTTAAAGTGCATATTTTCTTGTCAAATTGAAACACTGCATGCACTATTTATACTACAAAACGGTATTGAATAGTGCATAAGTACGTCAATTGAGATGCACCTGAAGGTTTCGAGGTAAATAAAAAAAGCAGACAAAAGTGCATCGTTGCTGCATTGCTTGCTAGTGTTAGATCTTTTGTGTTCATTTCAGACCTGGTAGAGGTGAAGGAGGAAAGTCAAGAGCTGAATGAAGTAGAGGAGAAACATCCGTTCGAGGAGCCTCGTGCAATCATAACCAGTGAGAAATCCTCCAGTCGCACACAGACTGAAAATAAAAGCACGCAGAAAACAGCGCTCATCTGTTCTCACTGCGGAAAGAGTTTTAGACAGAGAGGACACCTTGATGATCACATAAGGACTCACACCGGAGAGAAGCCTTACGCGTGCCTTCACTGCGGGAAGAGCTTCACGCATAAAGGAAACCTTAAGGATCACATGAGGATTCACTCGGGAGAGAGACGGTTCGCGTGTCAGCACTGCGGGAAGAGGTTCACGCATAAAGCCAACCTCACGGATCACATCCGGATCCACACGGGAGAGAAGCCGTTCTCCTGCGATCAGTGCGGGAAGAGCTTCACACACGCCACGAGTCTGAAGACTCACCTGCTGTCTCACTCCGGAGAGCGGCCCTTTAGCTGCGATCAGTGCGGACACAAATTCATTCTAGCGGCGCACCTGAAGAGACACCTGAGGATCCACACCAACGAGAGGCCCTACGTGTGCTCCTTCTGCGGGAAGAGCTTCTTGTGGCTCTGTTATTTTAAAGACCACCAGAAGAAGCACACGGGCGTGAAAGCTCACGTGTGCTCCGAGTGCGGCAGCGCCTTCACGAGAGCCAGCGAGCTGAGGATGCACCAGAGGACCCACACCGGAGAAAAACCCTACACCTGCTCGTGCTGCGGAAAGAGCTTCGCAGAGTCCGGAAACCTGAAGAAACACGAGCGTGTTCACACCGGAGAGAAGCCCTACCAGTGTCCCTCCTGTGGAGGCAGTTTCAGCCAGTTCAGCCATTTGCTGAGACATTTAAAGCAGCAGAGCTGTCCGAAGCTGACGCAGTTCTTCTTCAGGCCTCCGGATGAACAGAGCTCGTCCTCAGGTGCAACACTGGCGATTGAATCAAAGGTGGAATTTCTGCCAGAATAGCAGTGCGGATGGTGATATTTATTGAGAGAGGTGTATCTGCTGACAAAGTCGGTCTGGGATCACCTCGAAGAATTTTATTGAAAATAAAACGTCAGGCAGTTACTGTATCTGTTATTATAATTGTGTCCCTGGAGCACAAAAGCAGTGTTAAGTCGCTGGGGTATATTTGTAGCAATAGCCAACAATACATTGTATGGGTCAAAATTATGCATTTTTTTTTTATGCCAAAAATCATTAGGATATTAAGTAAAGATCATGTTCCATGAAGATATTTTGTAAATTTCCTACCGTAAATATATCAAAACTTAATTTTTGATTAGTAATATGCATTGCTAAGAACTTCATTTGGACAACTTTAAAGATGATTTTCTCAATATTTAGATTTTTTTGCACCCTCAGATTCCAGATTTTCAAATAGTTGTATCTCGGCCAAATATTGTCCTATCCTAACAAACCATACATTAATGGAAAGCTATTTATTCAGCTTTCAGATGATGTATACATCTCAGTTTAAAAAAATTGGCCCTTATGACTGGTTTTGTGCTCCAGGGTCACGTGTCATGTTTTATCTAAGCTGGATTTAGTAATGGAAATATCCACAGAAGCTGACATGGCAGACATCATCTGAGAGCGTAATGTTTTAAATGCATTCCTTTGAGTGATGATGTTTAGGCGATGAGCATGAATAGATCAGAGCAGTAGGTTGCTGTGAAGTGCCATGTTTTAGAGGTGTTTCTCTTATGTTGAAGTAGCAGTGGTACAAAAGACACGGTTGATGTGGGATGGTTCTCTCAGAAATGAAACTTCTGTCATCATCATCATCATCATCACCTCTCTCACGTGTCACATAGCTATTATTTGTTCTGACTGTCAAGCTTTAAAAAGGACAAGAACGTACAGTAAGTGAAGATTTGCTTTCCAAAACCCCTTTTGTTTTCCGTGCTAGAAGGAAGTTTGGAGTAACATTGTAACACTAGATTGTGACAAATGTTGATTTTAAAGTGACCTGTGCCTTTCTATCAGTCGTAGTGGAGCACTGAAGAGCAATGAGATCAGTAAGATTTAGGTGATTTAGTCTCAGGTAGATCATGAGACCATGAGTTTGATTCCCAAGTGAACTGAATGTGTGTCAGCCTTCAGTGCATTCTGTGCATCGCTCTGGACAAAAGTGTGTTCAGACTTAATAAATGTTTAATGCTTGTTCACCTTTAGAAACTCTCATGGATAAAGTTAATTTGCCATTTTTGTGTACTTGGTTTGCAGCTTATATACAGAATTTTCAGTATTCTTACAGTTCACATTTATACACACTTCACATTTTATATTTAATAAAGATATCCCTTTACCAAATCATATGCTGCCACAAAATAAAATTAGTTTTTATTAATTGTCAGTGTTTTTGCATTGCATACAAACCATATATGAATTCTCTCGTCACTTTTAAAGATAATTTTTCCACGAGGGCAACTTGCAGTGCATAAGTCCAGCCTTTCAATAGTTAATAACCCAGCAAGCTTGGGGTTAACTGTTACTAAAAGTCTGGGCTTTGTTTGTGTTTTTAACTCAAAATGGGTTGGAAATTAAAATCAAACACCCGCAAATTTACTACAGCAACAACACTGGCTACAGTCATAATCAATAAGTGAAAATTGATAAGAAAACATAAGAAAATAAAAATGTAGACAAAAGTACAAACAACATATGTGTATGTGAATGAGGAACCCAGCTCTCCCTGCGCATCGAAGCTCCATTCCAGCAGGTGGCGGTAGTTCATCCTAAGTGTCTTTGCTCACTGCTAATAACAACACATTCCATAGAAGAAGTAGAAACAGCGCGAACTCTTCAGTCCTCTGATCTTGTTCTGTTGTTTGGTAAGTGCTGGTTTTACTTCAGTTTAATCATTGTTCTCATGGTTTAGATGTTGTGAGTAATTTTAATGTCTAGCAGTTGGCTCTCTGTAACAATAATGCCAGAGAGCATTTGGTGGCATTTAAAGATTTCTTTTCATTGCAAAATGTCTTCTGTCATTCACGGAGTTTAGCGGATTTAAATCAGGTTTGCTTTGTTTGCCAGGCTGGAGCTGAATCAACAATTTGCTTTTAATTATACCTTAATACTGTAAATTACCCATACGCTTAATGTGGTATTAGAAACTTTCCCTATTATATATGCTGATTAGATGGCTACCTAAAATTAGTTAGCGTTAAGGTAATTCACCAGTCATTTTTAACTGGCTAGTTTATATATAAAATCAAATATAAATTTAGTTGAGTGGCATGAGAGTTTGCAAACCTATTTAAATTCAGTTTTCACTCCTGAAACTTTGCAGTTGCTCCTCTTAGCGTCATGAAAAATAATTAAGTAAATACTAGATTCTATACGGAAGCGAACAAACACAGAACCATGCGATAGATTTATGCATGATCTCTTAATGTCTTAGATTTAATCAGTAAATTCAGTTTGAAGAATAAAATAATATATGGCTGTTAACAATCATGTTATTTATCATTACAATAGCTCTACTTTTTGTATACAGTATCAGGTCTCATTTAAGACATTTCATTTATGTTGAATTGTTCAATAATGTTGAAGTTGCATGGAGTAGGGCTGCAACAAACAATTATTTCAGCTTTTGCAGTTATTTACAATATTGAGTTATACATATTCTAGCTAATAAATAAAAAAAGGAAATCAGCTTTTGAAAATGTCAAAATTATTACTTATACGATTACAATTATTATACAATTAATTTTTTACAATATATAGCAGGAGGACAGTGGCACACAAAATAAGATGACAGGCATTGAGGCATTCTCATTCACCATTAATTAACCGAATGAAGAAGTGATGCATTCTGCCTAACATCTGCTTTTGTAAGTCAAATAGAAACAAAATAAAGGTAAGCAATAAGTCGTTTTATTTTTGGAAAACTATGAATTTTTTTTATTCACATCCTCACTTATAATACCTTATCAAAACAGTCCTGAGCTAGCTGCTTTCTTAACCGCTTGTTTTTCACCGCTGTCATGTTTGGTTTGCGTGTATTCTGTAATTGAGAGGAAAACACACATAACATATTTACATATTCCTCTAAATGCCGCGCCATCACGGAAGGCTCCGGACGTTTAACAGTAAACCCTCAACAAACACAGAACGTTCCCCTAACGTTAGTTTTTGGTTCCCGTTTAGTTATTATTTTGAGAACCAAATACTAACGTTCGAGGAACATCCTTTTTAGGTTATATTTGTTTTTGTAACCATAAAATAACATCCCCAGAACGTTGCATGGTGGTTATTAAATAACATAAAAAAGAACTTATAGAGAATGTTCCCTCATGGTTATTTTTCGGTTATTAATTTGCAAACATAAAATAACGTTCCCAGAATGTTGCAGGGTGGTTGTTTTTAAAATAACCTAAAAATAACTGGTACAGAATGTTCCCTAATGGTTATTCCCAGGTTATTTTTATAACCCTGTAAGACCGGGAAGATTTGGGTTCATTCATAAATTCGTACGACCTTACTTTCACGCTGTGCAAATACAAACTGGAAGGCATAAGACAACTAGCACAGTCCTGAAAAAGGAGCGGGGCTACATGTATTTTGTAGAGACGTTCCACATGAAATGCATGAAGTAAGATGTAAGTAGAATAATTAAATTTGTCTATTTGGATGTAATACAATAAAAACAAATTTTCAGCAATAGCAATAATGATTAAAGAAGGTTAAGAGGTGGTGTAAGCAAGTTTAGTTTGTAGGAGAATTTTAACAGTAGCTAAGTTAGCTAAATATGACTACCTGCAGTAATTTAAAAGGGGTCTGTCTATAAAACCTCGTCCACTTCACGAAGTGGAACGCACAGCCCTTCTCATAAACACCGTGTCTTCTTCTGTTGGAGTGCATCCGAGAGGGCCCAATTACAGTCTTTCGCTACAGCGGTCTACTGTGGTCAAACCGCGTTATTGCAGGCCCTAACATTTGGTCATATGACATCAAAAGTCTATTCAACAACAAAAATATTTGTAGACAATTTTTTGTTGTCAATAATATTGACTAATCATTTCAGCCCTAATATGGAGTCATGTATAGCTTAATTACCTTTTTTTCAGATCTGGTCCTCCATACTGCATAGCAATGAGCTGTGACATAGTGAAGATGGAGTGTATTAAAGAGGAGAATGATGATGATACATGCCATCAGTGTGGAAAGAGCTTGTCATGTAAAGCATAGCAATGAGCTGTGACATAGTGAAGATGGAGTGTATTAAAGAGGAGAATGATGATGATACATGCCATACATGCTGATACATGCAAGTCTCAAAGAACACATGAGAATTCACACCGGAGAGAAACCGTTCACATGCCCTCAGTGTGGAAAGAGATTTTCACGTAAAAGATGCTTTGTGCTTCACATAAGGCTTCACACCGGCGTGAAGCCGTTTGCGTGTCAGCAGTGTGGAAAGAGTTTCTCATGTCGAGGAACCCTTAAGGCTCATTTAAGGTTTCACAGTAATGAAAAACCGTTCAAGTGTCCTCAGTGTGAAAAGAGTTTTTTAATTAAAAGAGTCCTTGAGGATCACATAAGAATTCACACCGGAGAGAAGCCGTTCACATGTGATCAGTGCGGAAAGAGTTACAAATGGTCAAATAGTCTCAGAGTTCATAAACTCCTTCACTCCGGAGAAAAGCCATTTAAGTGTGATCAGTGCGATAAGAGGTTTGTTCTGAAAAAAGACCTAAAGGCCCACATGAAAACTCACACTAAAGAGAAGCCTTACTTGTGTTCTGTTTGTGGAAAGAGTTTTGCATGGCTGGACTGTTTTAAAGACCATCTGAAAATACACTCTGGTGTGAAAGAGTATTTGTGCGCAGATTGTGGAAAAGCCTTTATTACAGCCACTCAGCTGAAAGTGCACCGCAGGATCCATACTGGAGAAAAACCTTACAAGTGCTCACATTGTGAGAAGAGTTTTGGACAGTTAGGAGGCCTGCAAAACCATGAGAGAATCCACACTGGAGAGAAACCATTCCAGTGGCATCAGTGCGGCAAGAGATTCGGACATTCCGGAACTGCACTGACTCACACAAAGAAGCACTGCCCAAAATTAAAGTCAATATGACTGAAGAAACAAGACCTTAAGAGCTCAAGGAATTAAAAAGTGCTACCTTTTTTGTGATTATTGTTTCACTCTATCCTGTTATCCTGGTTCTCTTCCTATCTTACAAATAGACAATACTACATTGCTATAAACAATTATAACTCCTCCACTGCTTTACTTAGACAGGGTGTTCCCCAGGGCTCTGTTCTCGGCCCATTACTGTTTATTATTTACATTATGCCCCTTGGACATATTATTCGTTATTATGGTTTTCATTATCACTGTTGTGCTGATGATATTCAGAAATACTGTATACCGCTTGCCGTTTGGATTCTATCCACCAGACCACATCACTATGTGTGTTAATGAGTTAAAGACATGGCTAAATTCCAATTTTTTAAGTTTGAACTTGAGCAAGACAGAAATTTTAATTACTGTCCCCCCAACTCTAACTAAAAATATAACTAATATTCCCAGCTTTAACCTTGATGCTACAACAATTTTTCCATCTGCCACCATTAGAAATTTGGGCATTACTCTTGATCCTTCACTGACCCTGGATGTTTACATCAGTAAACTTTTTAAAGTTGCATTTCTTCAGTTTCACCGTATAGCCCAACTAGATTTTGTCTGTATTCAATGGGCAGCAGGTCATTTTCTGTCATGGCTCCTAAGCTATGGAACCCTTTATCACTGGCACTGAGGACAACAACCTCACTGTCTGAATTTAAATCACAACTTAAAGCCTAATTGTTTACCCAACACCTACCAGTCATAATTATGTTTCTTTAGACCCTTTCCAACTCTTTTTCTACCAATTGGAATGCTTTCTCAAAGTATTTTTGTTACGTGTATCTGCCTTGCATTTACTGCTCTTTATTTTTATTTGTTTGTTTATACTATCCATTTTTTATGTTTTTTACTCAATCCTATGCTATGTGTCTTTGCTTTATAATGATATGCAACTGCGATCATTTTTGGACTGGGCAAATGTCTACTGTCCACTTAACTGATAAACTGAATTGATTGTCTGTGACTATGTGAAATGACTGTTCTTTGCGTTACTGCTTATGCAAAGTATCCTTGAGCCTGGGAAATGCGCTATATAAATTAAACATTATTATTATTATTATTATTTGTAATTCAAATGTGAAAAATGTCCATAGTACCCTGGTGAAGCATGCACTCATTTACAGAATAAAAGTGACCTGTAGTAGTTACAAATCTTTATTGATTTATGATTTAGATACTTGAATTACTGTAATTACTTGGATGTTTAACATGTTCTTAAGTTGCTAATGTTTCTTATAGTTCACTACTGCTTTGAGGTTCATCAGGTCAGTGAAATAACTGTTAAAACATCTGCTCCAGAGATGTATTTTTTTATGAAAATAAATATTACACCATGAGCACTGAACTCGAGTCATTCTTCATAGTCATATGGTCTGGGGAGACTATCTTCAAAAAAGTATCTATGGCATTAGGTACATTCCTCATAGAACCATATAATGTAGTGTTTATAAGAGCAGTGCTGCTTGTTGTACAGGGGTAACCACTTTATTTCTGCTGTTCCATAAGCGTCATTTTTAAACAACTTTTAGTTTTTGTCAAAACTTGAGTTTGAAAATCTTTAAGTCATAATTTTACAGTCATTCTACATTTTAGAATGTTACACATGGCTTAAAAACAACCCAATTTGGGTCATTTTGGCAACCCAGCAATGGGTCAAAAAGGGAAGTTTTGTAGGCTTTTGTCCCATCTTGTTTGGGTTAAATGTTTGACCTAATAGCTTAAAAATTGTAATCAAACACACATATTTATCACAGCAACAACACTAGCTACAATCATAAGTTAAAATTGATAAGAAAACCTAAGAAAATAAAAAATATAGACAGATTTAAATACAACATGCACATGTGTATGTGAATGAGAAATCCAGCATTTCTTTCTTTCTTAGCAAAACAGAGAATTTTGTCTTTCATTATCTCAAGTCTCTCATTATAACAAACAAAGTGTAACATGATGTTAATAAGAGATCCATTGTGCAGTGTAGAGCTTCATTAACGGAACTTTGTGACATCACAAACTGAAATGAATGACAGCTTTATTATTATTATTATAAAGGGAGCGTGCTTTGCACACTTTCTTGGCTAATCCATTCAGAATTTGAATTTGTTTTTTATGATGCTAAGAGCACCAGCGATCGCTTACACACTGCAACGTTTCGGGAGAGATGTATAAATGCAGCATTTACGGTTGGTCAAAAGTTTGCATACACCTTGCAGAGTCTGCAAAATGTTCATTATTCTACCAAAGTAAGAGGGATCACACAAAATGCATGCAATTTTTTATTTAGTACTGACCGCAATACGATATTTCACATAAAAGATGTTTACATATAGTCAACAAGAGGAAATAGTTGAATTGATAAAAATGACCCCCTTCAAAAGTTTACATACACTGGGTTCTTAATACTGTGTTGTTACCTGAATGATCCACAGCTGTGTTTTTTTGTTTAGTGATAGTTGTTCATGAGTCATTTGTCTTGAACAGTTAAACTGCCTGCTGTTCTTCAGAAAAATCCTTCAGGTTCACAAATTATTTGGCTTTTCAGCATTTTTGTGTATTTGAACCCTTTCCAACAATGACTGAATGATTTTGAGACCCATCTGTCCACACTGAGGACAACTGAGGTGTAACGTGCTAGTGCTGATACTAAGCGCACAACGAAGAAGTAAATCCCAAAAATAGGCTTTTAATAATAAATCCACAAGGAATCCAGGAGCTGGGGTAGCACAACACAATAGAATAAAACAATAACCGGTGAGGACAGAACAGAAAGGGGGAGAACTTATACAAAAGCAAGAGAGGGGCTAATCACTTAATTAACAAGACACAGGTGAACCTAATGAACTAATAAGGGCAACTCAGGAAAACTAGGTCAGAGGAACAAAATACGTATCAGGAACAGGGAAAAACACAGCTAAAAGTCCATGACGGTGACAGTTCACCCCCCTCCCGGTGGGGGCTCTGGAGAAGGGTGTGGAGCAGGAAAAAGGCAGAAACAAAAAGAGTCCATGGGGGAGTAGAAGGTAGGGGGGAGCAGGAGGAGCCAGATGTTGGTCAAGAGACCAACCAGGACGAGGCCCCAGGGCAGAGTCGAGGGAGGGAGGAGCCATGGTGGAGGATTGGCAGACAATACCCTGGGGACGAGAGATGGCGACGGAACCGCTGGGGGTGGAGACCCATGTGGAGCCAAGCAGACGGAGAGCCAGGGTGACACCTGAGGATCCGGAGGGCCAAGGCAGAGCTAAAGGCTCAGGCGACCGAGGCGGAGGGGGGCTCCGGAAGCCTGAAGCGGAGCCGGAGCGACTGAGAACAAAGGCAGAGCCGGAAGGAAGGAGGAGCCTGACAGAGCCAGAGGGACGGAGTGACAAGGCGAAGCCAGAGGAGTGGAGTCCCGAGGCAGCGGATGGTTGACGACGGACGAGGGAGCCCGGTGGAGCCAGTAGGATGACGGGCCATGGTGGAGAAGAGGGAGCTAGGAGCCAAGGTGGAGCCGATGGGTCGAAGGACTGAGGTGGAGTTCAGCACTTGGAAGCTGGAGGTGGAGACAGAAGTCACAGGGAGCTTAGGAGACGTAGGAGAGCTGGACGGAACCAGCGGAGACTCGAGACGTAGGAGACGCAGGAATATAAGGTACAACCTCTCCAACCCAGTCTATTATATCCTATTGAAAAATGTCCATAAGTTCCTCAAAATAATGTCCAGAGGCCAGCTGCAGCTCACCCTCAGTGGCTGGAGTGTGGGCAGGGCTTCCCTCCAAGCCCTTGATCTCCACCAGTACTCCCTTATGCACGTGCGATGTAGCTGACTCACACACCTTGTCAGACGTCTCTTGAGGCTCAGGCTCCGGGGCGATGCTTGGCTCAGTAGTAGGTTTATGCGCTGGCTCACATGTTGCGGCAGGCTCAGGCTCTCCGTCTGCGGTGGGCTCTGTGACACTCCCTTGAGGGCCATCCATGGGCAGGTTAGTACGGAACCGCAAAGGTGGTGAGATTAGCCAGTCCTATGAAGTCTCTTGTGTGGTCCTCGAAGGAGCGATCTCCTTGCTCCATGCAGAGGTACTGGACGACAGGGATATCCATTCGGAGAAAAACAAAAGGCAAGGGGGAAAAAAATGCCGCAAAACTTTACCTTTTGGGCCGGATCTTCTGTAACATGCTGGTGCTGATACTAAGCACACGACGAAGAAGTCAATCCCAAAAATAGTCTTTTAATAATAAATCCACAAGGAATCCAGGAGCTGGAGTAGCACAACACAATAGAATCAAACAAAAACTGGCTAGGACCAAACAGAAATGGGGAGAATTTATACAAAAGCAAGAGAGAGGCTAATAACTTAATTAACAAGACACAGGTGAACCTGATGAACTAATCAACGCAACTCAGGAAAACTAGGTCAAAGGAACAAAAGACAGGAGATCAGGAACAGGGAAAAACACAACTAAAAGTCCATGACTGTTACATGAGGGACTCATACGCTATTACAAACTATTACAGAAGGTTCAAATGCTCACTGATGCTCCTGAAGGAAAAACGATGCATTAAGAGCTGGGGGTGTAAACTTTTGAACAGAATGAAGATGTGTACATTTTTCTTATTTTGTCTAATTATCATATTTTTTTATTTAATACTGCCCTTCAGAAGCTACAGAAGATACTTACATGTTTCCCAGAAGACAAAATAAGTTACATTTACCCTGATCTTCAAATTCAAAAAGTACAGTAGCTCTGCTTTGTGCCCAGTTTCAGACACCGTAGTCGTTTAAGTTTTAAAATGCATTTCATTTATATATTGAATTGTTCAATAAAGTTGAAGTGGAATTAATTGTAGAACATAATCTCTTTTTTCAGATCTGGTCCTCCACATAGCAATGAGCTGTGATGTAAAGATGGAGTTTGTTGAAGAGGAGAATGATGATACATGCCATCAGTGTGGAAAGAGCTTGTCATGTAAAGCAAGTCTCAAAGAGCACATGAGAATTCACACCGGAGAGAAACCGTTCACATGCCCTCAGTGTGGAAAGAGTTTCTTACGTAAAGGAGGCTTTAAGATTCACATAAGGATTCACACCGGAGAGAAGCCGTATGTGTGTCAGCACTGTGGAAAGAGCTTTATAAGTCAAGGAACGCTTGGCACTCACTTAAGGTCTCACAGTAATGAGAAACCGTTCAAGTGTCCTCAGTGTGAAAAGAGTTTCAGACGTAAAGACCTCTTCAGTCGTCACATGAGAGTTCACAGTGGAGAAAAGCCTTTCTCATGTCCTCATTGTGGAAAGTATTTTCTAACTAAAACCCACCTTCATACTCACTCACGAATTCACACCGGAGAGAAGCCTTACACATGTGATCAGTGCGGAAAGAGTTTCAAATGGACAAATACTTTCAGAGTTCATAAACTCCTTCACTCCGGAGAAAAGCCATTTAAGTGTGATCAGTGCGATAAGAGGTTTGTTATGAAATCAGACCTAAAGGCCCACATGAAAACTCACACAAAAGAGAAGCCTTACTTGTGTTCTGTTTGTGGAAAGAGGTTTTCATGGCGGCGCTGTTTTAAAGAACATCTAAAAATCCACTCTGGTGTGAAAGAGTATTTGTGCGCAGATTGTGGAAAAGCCTTTATTACAGCCACTCAGCTGAAAGTGCACCGCAGGATCCATACTGGAGAAAAACCTTACAAGTGCTCACATTGTGAGAAGAGTTTCAGATGGTTAGGAACCCTGCAAGACCATGAGAGAATCCACACTGGAGAGAAACCATTCCAGTGCCATCAGTGCGGCAAGAGATTCAGACACAATAGAGCAGCACGGATTCACAGAAATAAGCATTGCCCAAAAGCAAAATCCAAGTCAATATGACTGGAGAAACAAGACCTTAAGAGCTCAACAATTAATTAGTGCTCTATTCTTGCCCTTGTTTTATTGTTATTTGTTATTTTAAATTTCCAAATTACCTAAGTTGTTTGTAGAATGAAAATAACGTGGTTAAGTATTTATGATTGTTCCTACACTTGTATTACTGTAATTATATAAATGTTTAATATGAATGTTTAATATGGACCTTTTTATTAAAACAATTATTCCACCATGAGCACTGAACCAGAGTCATTCTTCATAACCTTCAAACTGACTGGAAGGAACTGTCTTAAGAAAAGTTTCGATGCCATTTTATTTTCATCATATCTCATAATATCGTGTAGATGTAGGGCAGGCTGTGTCCGTTCATGGCGATAATGAAAATATTACAATTAAAAGACTTAAGAACATTCATGTTGAAAAATACATTACAATAAAATATAGAATGAACACCAGTAAACTGAAGTTGTCAAAACTGTTGAAAAAAAAAGAGAAGTTAAAACTGAGCAGCTGATGACACCGTATTGTTCTTTAGAGGATAAAAGGCAATTAATTTAGATCTAGTTGAACAATTTTCATGTGCCTCTGGTCTTAAACTTAATATATTAAAATGTGAAACAATATCAATTCATGACTGGATGATACAGTGCATCTGGAAAGTATTCACAGCACTTCACTTTTTCCACATTTTATGTTACAGCCTTATTCCAAAATGGATTAATTTCATTATTTTCCTCAAAATTCTGCAAACAATACCCCATAATGACAACATTAAAGAAGTACAATAATGAGTTATACATATTCTAAATAATAAATAAAAAAAGGAAATCAGCTTTTGAAAATGTCAAAATGATTACTTACACGATTACAATTATTATATAATTATGTTTTTTACAATACATGGCAGGACAGTGGCACAAAAAAAATAAGATGACAGGCAGAGAGACGTTCTCATTCACTATTAATTAACCGAATGAAGAAGTGATGCATTCTGCCTAACATCTGCTTTTGTAAGTCAAATAGAAACAAAATAAAGGTAAGCGATAAGTTGTTTTGTTTTTGGAAAACTATTAATTTTTTTTATTCACATCCTCACTTATAATACCTTACCAAAACAGTCCTGAGCTAGCTGCTTTCTTAACCGCTTGTTTTTCACTGCTGTCATGTTTGGTTTGCGTGTATTCTGTAATTAAGAGGAAAACGCACATAACATATTTACATATTCATCTAAATGCCGCGCCAGCACGGAAGGCTCTGGATGTTTAACAGTAAACCCCGTGTGTGACGCTGTTTCGTTGTGAAAGCAAAACTACTTTGTTTGGTCTTCCAAAAGAGGACACGACTACAAATCAGTGGCATTTACAACACTGTTCCAGAACACTTCAACCCAAATATTCAGATGTGTGCAGCACATTTTATGGAGGACTGTTTCCTGATCCTGGGAGAGTAGACTACAATGCCGGCTGTTCTGACTCACAGACTGTAAGTACGTTTTTTAGATTTAAATAGGGTGACCATACGTGCCATTTTCCCAGGAGGCGTCCTGGCCAGGATTTCTATATTGCCTAAAATATCAAGGTTTTGGCTTTGTTTGCGTGTGCAGACCGATCGGTGTATGACATCAAAATACCATACAGACAGTTCCTTATGCTTTCAAAATGCTCTCGAGGTATTTTGATGTCATACACCGATCGGTCTGCACACGCAAACAAAGCCAAAA